AAGAGTGTTCAAAAATCTGTTACTTGGTACACTCTTCCACCTACTGTATAGCTTTTGCCTGCTTTCCAAAAAGGTAAGGAAAAATCTAGCTTCTTCTTACTTTATTCTCAACTGATTGTTGTGATTATCATGATATGTGTAAATAAAGGGGGAATGTGCCTTAGTGCAGCAATGTTAAAATGAGTGTCTAACTTAAAAATTGTTCACACGTCTGGCACCAGAAGCTCCCCCAGGGAGGGACTGGCTTTGGAAAGGGGGGAACCTGGGACGGGGGTGGTTTGAATCCCTGTGCCCCCGCAGGGCAGGGACTGCTCCTCTTCTTCTTCCTGCCCCCAGCAGAGGTGGATCTTCACAAAGCCTTTGAAGATGTAGCTGTTTTGACAACAATTTAAAAAGAGGAACAAAAGTTAATTATGGCAATCAGATCTCGCCACTAACAAGATGTTTTCTGAGTCACTTCTAGCTGCTTTACCAGCAGGGTTGCCTGGCAGCAAAGAATATTTGTTAATGTGTGAGCAATCTTCTTTACTCTAAAATTATAAATGGCTGGAAAAAAGTTTGCAAAATATTCTTTTTTTTTTCCACCATGGGGGGATCCCAGTGACCACTCCTGTATAACCACGAGTGAACAATTTTTGAGGGCTGGCTCTTTTCTAGGTGTTGTGACTGCCTACATGGTGCTCTTGTGAGCTAATTTCATGTTTGTGACTGCATCAGCCAGGAACTGCTGCTGTTCTGGTGAAATCGAAGGAATGGGAGAGCATTTGATATTGGAGACAATTAACTAACGACCATCTTTCTCCTATCTGCGATTCCGGGTGCCTGTTCAGAAGGCTTTGCCCACTCCTTTGAGGCTTTGCCTGGGTGTGAAAGGTGCTGGCCAGGTTACTGCGGGTCTGTGCAGTCAGTGCTAAAAGAGATTTTTGGGTACAGCCTCCAGAATGTTTAGTTGGGCTCTAATAGGTGAGATCTTATATCAGCGAAGGCAGGAGTGTTGCTTGGATTGAGTCTCTCAGTCATAGGGGAAAAAAATAGTAATATCTTTAGCTGGTGTAAATTGCCACAGCCCCAGTTTCAATTCAAAGTCCAATTCTTGTGAAACGCTCAAATTGGTTTGGGGTTTTTTTATTGTATTTGAATGATGTCCATTACTCTAACTTAGCTCGGGCGGAAAGCCTGATTTCAGGTGTGAAGGTCTTTACTTTCTTCTACATCAGGATGACAAGCCTGACCCCAGGGCTAGAGTCAGAAAGGGTGACAGTGGCTGGTGATGAGGAGATACGACGAAGTACTTGGGGAGGAGAAGGGGCCACTCAAAGTATTAGCGCAAATTGAATGGGAAAGCATAAGGGGTGACTGTGTGAAGATGAAATTGCTAAAGGAAGGAGATGCGAGGAATAGGAGAGAGATAGAAGATACCCTAAATCTCAGGAGAAATCACTTATTTTAAAATAAAATTAACAAACCATTTAAAATTAAAATGACTAGGAGCTCACAGAGTTTTTTTAAAATTATTTTTTTTCCATGTAACTTTATTGCATAAGGTTAGGAACTGCTGTCTGCAAAGGCACACAAACAGTTCTGTCACCCCAGTCCTATAAGAAGCAATCAGCCGTTTGGATTCTTTAAGCAGATTTTAAAAGCCACACAAAGCTCTGAAAAATGCCACCGTGGAGGATCGTCTGGGCTTGCCACAGTCTTGCCCACACCAGTGCTCTTCTGCGTTGGGTATTAGTGGTTTCCATTCCTCACCCGTGAGCGTTTCTGTTCCAGCCGGGCTGATCGCTGCAGCTCTGGTCGCTGTGCTTTGATTTGCTCCTCCAGGAGTACAAAACAAAAACTAGCAAGGAACAATATACTGAATTAAAAGCAAAGCAATGAGATCGGGAAAACATCAGCTTAGTCGGGAATGGACACATGATTTGCTGGTAACAGGTTGGTTTGTCGGTGTGAACACAGCGTGTGAGCCCTGACTTGACTGTATCAGTTCCTGCCAGGTGGTGCACAGAGAGATGCATTTATAAGGTTCTAAATTCTTTCCTGTGAGGGACAAATGGGACTTATTTACTGCTCGGCCTGATGAAAATACAAGGCTTGCAAAACACTACATGGTATCTGGGTCGGGGAAAAATGTCCATCACCTGAACAGGGCAAAGAAACATCGAATGCTTTTGTAGAGCTAGAGAGCCGTGTGGCTGCTGTAGAAATATCTGCAGTGCTTTCCTCCTGATCCACCACCCAGCAGTGTATGCTCACGGGTGAGGAGGAGAAAGCAGTGCAGTGACTAAAGATCTGGAAGTCTTGGATCCATGCCTTGGGCTCTCAGAGCCTTTTGGTGCGAGGCTGGTGAGCGGTGTCAAGCACCCTTGTGCTACCTCCCGAGGATGGTGAGTGTGAGATGCTCGAGGAGGATGGGTGTGAGATGCTCGAGGAGGATGGGTGTGAGATGCTCGTGCATTGCTGGTGGGACGGTGTAAGCCCCAGCAACGCACCTACTCCCTTCTGCTGCCTCCTGGACTCGATGGGCAAGGACGGGAATGTTTTGAGGGAAGAAGTCTGATGCTTCATGCCAAGGCCAGTGAATTCTTCTTCTGAGCTGGTGCAAAGACTGTGGCTTGCTTGTGTGTGTCCCTTCAGCACACGGGAGTCACTGAGCACTTTGCCGTGTACATAGCACTGACTGCGTCACAAGGATTTACTTCGGGGTGAGGAGGACAAAGAAAACCATGGCACGGGTCACTGCTTCTGCTCTGGGAAGGACCTGGGTGATGCCTGTGAACTTGCTGTGCTCTGAAGTCTGTCATAACATTTATAAAAGCAGTCAAGGAGATACCAAATAGAGAACGTTCCCTGTTCTTCAGTTGGATTCTTGTGGCTGGGCATTGTTATTTCGGTTGCTTTTCGCACCTAGGTGGTACCAGTGGTCCTTCAGCACCTGCAGCTGGTTTAGCAGAGATAACAGTGAAGCACTGCAACCCATCAGCAACCTTTTATCATTTCTCTTTTCTGCCGAACTTTGAATCGATCTGGGCCAGATGCTGAGCAAGTCTAAACCACCATGGTCCCATTGCTTTGAAGAAGAAATGTCAATTGATATCAGCTGAGGGTCTGGCCTCCGATTTTCGAGCAGCAGCTAACCTTTCCACCTCAGCTACGTGCCGCAGCGTGCGGCTGCGAGGGGTTACGGCCACAAAGAGGAGCAGCTACCTGCTCAGCAGAAATGTTTCCTGAACTTAGGGCTCCAGCTGGCAGATCCTTGAACTTTGCATTCCTCCCGGATTCATGCTGGGTTTCCCCAAAGCTAGTCCTGTGTGCTGCTCTGAGCGATGAGTAGATCTCCAGGACTAGCTGAATTAATTTGAAGATGCCAATCACTGTACCTCTCTGCAAGGGCAGAGCTAGGAGGGTTGGCTTTTTACAGAGCAGCCCGTGACCACCAGTCAGGCTGTTAAATAATTATAATTACATTAGGAGCTTGGATGGCTCGGCCTCAGTCCGAGGCAGGGGCTCTCCTCCCAGGGCTGGGCAGGTTGTGCTGCTTCCGAGTGGTTTTCAGCTGCTTTACAAGTCCTTTTTTCGCTTGATCTGTATGCAGAGGAATCTCCCTGGTGATTGCAAAGCGTTGAGATCATTTGTGGAGCGCAGCGTGGTGTGAAGTCATTGCGTTTCTTGGTCGTATCTCCCTGAGAATACAAATGCAATTACTTAGATTACGCTATAATGAAGCTGTTGTGATACAAGGCATGACATGGTTTCAAACTGATCTTAGGCTTATATCGAAAGAGGTAAATAGTTCGACTTACCCTCCAGCGCCAAGGACTTTCTGTGCCTGCCCTCCTTCTCCGCGCAGTCCCCAGGGCCACCTACGCCATCCAGCAGCGGCACCGCTGGGGACCAGGCGACTCTCTGAAGGCTTTGGGTCCCAACTGTGTGATGTTCTGTAGCTCGTCATGCCTTAGAGTACGTGGTAGAGAATAATTATTGTCTGGATTGAAGCGTCATTTTCGTTTTAAATCTGCTAGTTTTCATCCTGAGAAACTGCTCTGTGTTTAACCTTACTTGAAGGGTTTTCTATTCAGTGGAGACTGCTAAGAAATGAGAATTCTCAGTCAAAATTGATAAGCAAAGGACTTTGACGGGTCTTCACCGCACTTATTTTTGTTCTAGAATGGCTTACTGGAAAACTAAACAGCAATCACAAATTTCTCCTGATGATGAAACACTTATTTCAAAAGTATTGCACGTAGGTACATCCAAATAAGCCCGTGTGACGCTCCAAACTAGTCCCTAGTACATATTTTCTTGTTTTCCAAGTTGTAAATGATTTTATTGATGGGGTAGCTTCTACTTTCTCTGGCTGCTCAAGGGACAAGTGGCTCTGGGGTGACCCTGCACCGCCCTGGGTCTTGCCCTCAGTCCGTGTGGGAAGCAATGCAGGAGTGATGGCATCCACCTCAGCCTCCCTTTTCAGAAAGTCTTGGAGTTAAAACTGGTTTTCTCTCACACTCCTGGGGGAAGGCTCAGCTCCTGAGAAGCACAGGCTCACCCCTCTGGGTTAGAAAACTTGAGTGCTCCAAAATACCTGGGGGTTTGCAGCTCCAGGTGCAGCTCGGTTCCTGCTGGAGCTGGTGCCAGGTCCCCTCCTGGGACTGGGTTACTTTCTTTTTTCCATCTCAGAATAACTACTTTTGACGATGCACTTTAATGTGTTCACATAACCGCATGCTCCCATATTAATTATTTTGCAGACTATCTCACACCTTTCATGCCTTGCATGATACGAGACTTGCAAATATGCAGGAAAGTGTCAGACTGTTTCCTTTTTTAAGAACTGGAATTCTTTAGGCACTTAAACGATCCCCTTATAGTTTGATGTTTGAACAATGCTAGTTAAAACACATTATCCGTGGCTATAAGTACTTCAGGTATTAAAAGCTAGGCAGCTAGATATATGTCACTGAGACACAAATGAGTATTAATTGGTATATTAGTATTAATATTCCTCTTTTATGCAATTTTTCTTGTTGTCTTTTTACATGATCTTTTTTCCT